CTACTGCATTTTTCAAGAAGCTCTAACATTTTTCTATCACACTTCACATTCAAAAGAACATTTAAACATATACACAGACAGGGAATCCACAAACCCAGAACAATCACTTTCCACTAAACTGAAGCACAGACAGTTCAGCCTTCCCATGAAGTAATGGTAGACAATGAATCAGGGTGGTAAGTGAAAGACACTATAATCAAGTGAAAAGCAAAAGAAACGAGGCTGCACTTCTGTAATTATTCAAGACGGCATGTTACCAAGACAGGAGTGCCAGGAAGCACTCAAGCTGACAGTAAGAAAGTCTGAACATAAACTTCAGTGACCTTCAATGTCCAAGGCCTTGCTTTTAGGACTCATTCTAGCAGTTTCTGTCAAACGTTCTTCTTAGAGACTGCCTATCTAAAATTTAAGAAATTAATTACTTGATTTAAGAAAGAATGTTGTTTTGCTTCTGCTGGCACTGTTTATCGCTAGCCATGATAAAACTCCTTAAGTGGGAAGGTGAGGAAGCCAATAAATAATCCACTTAATATGATCCACTTCCGCATGTGGCTGAAGCTCTATAGGGACACAAGTTAGGAGCCTGATGCTCCATCACAGCAGATGTAGGCAGAGAGGCTGGTGGAGATTCTCCTCTGTAGGGCCCATTACTATAAATCTCTCTGAAATGAATATGCCAACCAGTGCCTGGCCTGTCAGATAGGAATGTGAGAAAGCACCATTTCTCAAACTTTAAAATGCGGATGACAGCCCGTAAAGTAAATGATGATTAGTTTTTTGGTCAAGCAAGGAGGCTGATAAAAGGCGTTATATATCACTGGATGCATTTCTATAATCAACGTAGGCTCTAGTCACTTCTGCTGAGCTAAGGAACAGTCTGCTTGTGTTGGGTTTCAGAATTGAACGCTTTATGAAGTATGTTTTCCTAGCTCAGAAAATGCAAAACAACAACAAAAAAATACACAATGTAGAATCTGAAAAAAAAAAACCTCTAAACTTTTGTGATATTTTACAAATAATAAATCCATATCCTTTATTTACTTTGCCTAACAGTGTAGAATATTGTTGCAGTAATATTAATATTTTAGGAAAGACCACATATTTGTGAATTACATATCTTCAAACAATAAGAAACGCACACATAGAGAGAATTAGAAAACATATGGTGCACAGATAAGCAATGGGCAAAGTATTATCTGGGAGTTCTTGTAACTTTCAGGTTCAAAGTTACAATAATATAGATAGAAAATATCTTTCAATGCTGCTGGGCAAAGAGTTTCATTTGTTTTTGTTTTTTATTCAATAAATGAAAGAAGAACAAATAGTTGTCAATCATGTTTTTCTGTAAGACCAGATAGAGCTCATTCTTTCTGTAACAGCAACAGTGACAGAGAGCAAAGATCTGATTTTCTAATGGATTATTCAGAGTTATGAGGGTATAGGCCAACACTGACTCTGAACTAAATACAGAAACATGAAGTAATAAATATTCTACTTGTAGAAAAATGCCAGAAAACAATCTTGACACTCAGTAGCTAACCTGTTTTCTAAGAGACATTCTTTTATCTACTATACTCAATAAAAGTACGTGAAAGAGGAAAGGCAGGCCATGTTCTAGGAACAGAACAATGCAATAGTTTAAAGTATTAACCCTCAAAATATTCTTCGTCCATTTCATCTATTTTTAAGGGCCATAGTTCACTAAGAAGAACAGAAATTGATATACACCACCTTATTCTGTTGGTCACTAAATACCCACTCTTTAAAATTTGCTATCAAGACATCACATTTTGTTCCACCAAAAACTTCTGGAAAAAATGAGGCACTAAAAGCCAGTAAATAAATTTCAATTAGAGGAAGAGAATACCAGATTTTGGTATTCTCACACCCTTTCTAAGCACTGGGCCTCCCATGGGGGAAAAATTCCATGGACTTCACAACAGATGACTATAGTTAAGTAACTACAGCAACAATTTAACAGTACAATTCAGGCACTTCATTTGGATACAGATTCAACGAATGTTTCAGTCATTCACAAAAGCCAAAAGGAACCCCTTTTCCAGAGGTAGGACTACTCTTCTTTGAAGAAATACCCTGCAGGGAACAATCCCATGTGGGATCATGGGAAGGCAGCCAGTCTGGAGACCTTGAGGAATACTGACAGCCATGGGGATAAAGCAGCACTAGTGCACACCCAATTTACCATCCAGATCACATCTTCTAGCCTACACAGCAGAGGAAAGGGTTTTGGGAAGACTTACTAAGTACCAGGAGGCAAGTCTATCAACAAGAAAAGGAGTAAAACCTCAGCCAGCCAGCAGGACGCATGAGTCAGGGATGCTGTTCATAAGGATTCTGCTCCCCACATTCTCCCTAGAAAGGGCCTGAGTGCTGCCTTTGGGGGCAGCAACAAGAAAGGGGTGGTGGTCAGGAAGAATTAGATACTCTCCACTGATGGAGGTGATGGGTACCTGAAGGTTCACCTGGAGAGAGGTGGCCAGGGCCTAGGAGAGAACCTGAAAGGCCCCTCACCTCCTGATGGGCCAGAACTCTACAATTCCAAGTAACTGGCACAAAAAACCACTCTTTCTCCCAGTGTCTTCATCTCACATCACTGGGTGTGATCTATGTCCGTGTTTGCTCGCCATTGTGCCCTGAGCCTAATATCTGACACAAATATATTTACTTTTGGTCTTCTTCTGTTTTAACCAAGTGGCACAAGAGTAGGAGCTTTCTGAGTACTGATCTCTAGCAGCCAGAGCACGGCTGGCACATAAACGTACACTGAGTGAGACGTCTATTCACGTTAACTCACTGAACCTGGTTTGAGAGCTATCAATAGAAAAAGTAGAATTTCAAAACAGAACATCAAACCATAGTGAAAGCAAAAGTTGATAAAACTCAGGAAGGAAATACTGGCATTGTCAATAAGGAGGAAACTCAATTCCCCAAAACCTCATGTAGATAATTAAAATGATTAACCCCCCTGAACCCATATCCCGGTATGACTAATTACCAGACGGATATTATGACTACTGACCTGCTCAGTCCCTGCAACAAAGATTCCTAACTTAGGTCAGGGCCATGGGTAGGTTCAAGGGATGCTTGAAATGTTGCATGCTGGAGGAGACAATGTGTACAAGCCACATATCTGGCTACCGACTAGTATCTAGAATATAGAAACAACTCTCAAAATTCAACACTAAAAATACAAATAATCGAATTGGAAAGTGGGCAAAACCATGAACAATTCACTAAAAAGGTTACAAAGATGCCAAATAAGCACAGGAAAAGATGGTCACCATCCTCAGCCACTAGGGAAACGCAAATTACAACCATAATGAGATAGCACCACACATACCTACAAGAATGGCTGAAAACAACAGTGATAACAAGCAGATGTTGACAAAGATGCAGAGAAACTCAATCACTTAAACATTACTGTAAAACAGTACATCCACTCTGGAAATCAGTTTGGCAGTTTCTTTAAAACTTAACATGTAACTACCATGTGACCCAGCGATTGCACTCTTGGGCATTTATCTCTGAGAAAGGAAAACTTAGGTCCACACAAAAACCTGCACGTGAATATTTATAGCAGCTTTATTTGCAAAAAGCCAAAAACTGGAATCAGCCCAAGTGTCCTTCAACAGGTGAATGGTTAAACAAGCTGTGGCACATATATACTATGGAAAAGTCCTTGGTAATAAAAAGAACAAACTCCTAACACACACGACAGCTTGGATGAGTTTCCAGGGAATTATGCTGACTGAAAAAAGCCAGTCATAACAGGTTATATACTTTCATTTATCTAACATTTTTGAAATGACAAAAGTGTTAGAAATGGAGGACAGATTAGCAGCTGCCAGGGATTAGGGAGTGGTGGGGGAGGAAGGCCAGGAATGGTTATAAAGGGCAACTCAAGGGATCTTCATGGTACTAAGACTCTCCAGGATCTTGATTGATACTACACAGGTGTAAGAACTGTACAGAATTCACACACACACAAATGAGTACAACTGATGCTGGAGACACGTGAACAGGAGAGACGGATGTCAGTATCCTGGTTGTGATATTATACTATGGTTTATAAGATGTTAGTTAACATTGGGGGAAACCAGGCACCAGGCAAAGTGTACAAGGGTTCTGTATTATTTTGTACAACTGTATGTGAATTTACAATTATCTTAATAAAAAATTATTTATGTGGGAAGAGTCTAGAGCTTTCCACACAGTCTCACTGGATGGTCTGCACCTACTACTATTTATTCCACAAGTACTATTTTATACACCATTAAGCACACACATACCTAATTCTAATCCTGACAACAATATTATAGGCAGGCATTATTTCTGTTTTGCAAAAAATACAAAGGAACTCAGGCCCAGAGATGAAGTAACCCATTTAAAATGACACGAGTGACTGAGCAAGAAGCCAAAGCTCATGGCCACCTGCTACTCCACGTTGCCTGACACACAGGCTACTTGGATGCCATGAAATGACAACTCAGGAAAATAAATCATTCCTACAGGAGTTGTAAAATTTTCAATTTTCTGGAAGCCCTTCATGACAGTAACCTAAGTTTAAATGGCATTAAAAAGAGGGAGAAATTACAGGATACTACATACAGTATGTCATGTATTGGAAAAGATCACCCATAAAACTTCTATATGTACATTTATATTTATGCAAATACACAGAGAAAGATCTGGGAGAACACCCACAGATTTTTCACTAGTTGTCACCTCTTGGGAAGACTAAGGTGGAAGCAGAGGACTAGTCAAGAGGTGTTGGACTTCAATCACAGTGTCTGAATTTAGAACTGCATACCAATTCCAGTACAATTTGTCTTTTTTTTTTTTTTTAATTTTTTTTAAAAAAATATTTTTTTCATTTTTTTATTTTTTTTTATTTTTCTTTTTTTGTTTTTTTTGAAGTAGAATTTTGCATTGTATAATTTGTCTTTTTTTAAAAGGGGAAAAATAAAGCAAGCACTTACTGCATTCATAGATCTGTTCCAGCTTATCCACAGAAGAAAGGGAGAAAAATTTATAACCGGACTTACTACCAACAGCTAGGGACCTGCAAAAAAGCCAAATTCAGAAATAAGAGCTGATACATGTAGACAGTGATAATGCACAAATGAGCTCCCATGTTACCAGTTAGTTACCAGCATGCCTACCAAAAATTACACAGAACAAATAATTTTACATAGTTTGTACCAGGTGCACAGTACAAGAAGATGGCACCAGGTCAATAAAATAGACAGACAATATTCTTATTTAAAACCTACAGAACGTTTTCTGGAGATCTTATGTACAGCATGGCGACGACAGCTGCTAATAATGTATTGTATTCTTGAAATCTGCTAAGATAGTAGATCTTAAGTGTTCTCACCACAAAAAAGTAACTATGAGGTGATGGACGTATTAGCTTGATTGTGGTAATCCCTTCACAACATGTATATTGAAACATCATGTGATATACCTTAAATATATACAATTCTGTCAATTATACCTCAATAAAGCTGGGAAAATTTAAAAAACAAAAAACTCTATAAAATTTCAAAGATAAGTTTGAGATATAAATGAAAGTAATCAGTCCTAAATTATTACTTCCTTCAAAACAAACTGGGGCTTCTCAGGTGATCTGATATACATGCACAGTGTATGTGAGAGTTGGAAAGCTAAGTAAGCTAATATTCTAAATTTTAAACAAAAGTATTTATAACCTAGGCAGATGCAGATACACCTGCATGTCGGTAGGCCTTTATCAACGATGGCTCCATCACTTATGCTATGCTATGGCTGTGCAGTGGGATGGAAATGAAATGGACCAGAAAGCTACCTTAGAATCTGGAATCAGAAGACCACATCATTGGATTGCAAGAAAAAGCAAAGGATCCACTCTGATAGTCTCATGTTTAAGGTTCTGTATTTATCACCCAACACCACTGCTTCTGCTAAGAGGCTCAAAGAACTCATGCGCTCACAGCCCTCCTAGCACAGGAGACCCCTGACACTAAATGAAGGATTTCCTGATCAGAAAAGTACCTCTCTTCAGGACACAACTGACCAAGCAAAGCAGAAGCAAGAAGAAAGTCCAGCTTTCAGAATAAGAAAAGATGAGATAATGAAGCAGGAAGCAGTGGGACAAGGGAGGAATCAGATACTAGGATCATTTTTGCTTTTAATTTCTGGGAGAACATGAAAACAAGTAGATAAACCAGAAGACTGGAAAATAATAAAGATAGACATTTCATACTATGAGTATTTGTATCCCAAGATTAGAGCTATTTTAATGATGTCATCTATTAAAAACTTCAGATTTCCAACTACTCTTTCATAAATATGTGTAAGAAATATTCTAAGAAGGGAGTTGTTATAATCACTATTAATATTTAAAATTAACATTGGTTCATCTTAGAAGAACAGAAACAAAACTCTACCAGCTCATATAATTTTTCTTTGCAAGAATTACTTCTTCACTATATTGAATTAATTATATCAATGAAGTAATTTACTATTATTACCTCTCAATATTGTGAAAATAAAAGAACCAATATAAATGTCCAGGAAGTCTAAAAATAAAACAAAACCTTAGTAAATCAACTTTTAAGAAACTCATGTTCAGGAAAATATTTTCCAGATAACTAACGGTTGCTATTTTTAAGCACCAACCTCCCCCAATCCACCATTTTTTATTTAAAAAACAAATCATCCTTGTGTACTTTCCTGTGTTCTTAAACAAGGGGATGGCAGATTCTTCTGAGTTGAGCATTTCATGTGTCCCACAGCAAATGGCGAGACTGGAATACTGTTGTAAAAATATTTTTCTGCCTTTGTTTTGCTGACAGTTGTCACACTCTTCCTCATGACCATCCTATCATTAATAGCCCCCCTCCTTTTCTAACTTCTTGTTGACTTGGAAACCAAATCACCAAGCTTATTAGCATTATGTATAAATAAGCTTGGAGTGCCTCTCCCATGGGCAAAATTAATGAGCCTCAGTACCTGATCCTTGAGTTTGAGATCTCCGGTTCTCAGCTGTGCTCCGTACAGCTAGAATGTGTTAAAACTGGGCTTTGCCAATCAAGTTTATTGTTCTTCCAGGTGTTCAAAAACTGATTTAGCATATTAAGTATCTCAGGTAGAATTTTACCCACAGTCTACAAAACTGATTGTGCACTCTAACCAGTAAGAAATGGAAACAAAAATATTCCAAATACTTTTTGAGATGTATATACATATAGTTTAGTATAAGTATATACTTTATTCATAAAGACAGGCATTTTAAAATAATTACATTAAATATAAACAGGTTTGATATCTTCATTTTAACACCAACAATCAAGTTCACATACCCCTCTTTGGAGATTCTGGTTTTAATAATTATTCAGATTAGCCTGAACATAAAATGGCAGCCAAATGGGAGAGCAAAACAGATGAGATTTGCCCTAATAAATAATCTTATTACCAAAAATGTTTATGTGGTTTTAAGTTAACACAATGGGATCTTTTACTGATAAAGGGAAAAACTAGAAAATCATAGCCAAAAACAGATGTCTTTGCTTACCCTCCCCCAACCCAACGTTTACTACTATAGCCCCAACTTCAACTGTCTGGTGTCCAAATCCAGAGCCCGTTTTACCCTCTCCATAGACTAGCCTGCCTTTTGCTAGGGAGAGGGAGTGTTTCGTAAACACACACTGAACCAATCCTCTATTTTCATCCCACAGCCCCCTCAGCCTCACTTCTGGAGCTTCCCTGGACTGCCAACTCCTGAGCCTTCTGGGATTCTGCAGTTTAATAAATGAGGTTGATTCTCTGCTTTCTCTACTAGCAATTTAACATCCAGCTTCCTTTATCACTTGCTAGCTTCCAAATTTTGTTGCTAATTTCTTCCTTCTCATTCTCCCCATCCTCCGGTTTTTAAGCCTTTTAAAGTATTTTTGACACTTTATTGATTGACATTTTGTTAGGGTTTGAGTATGGAGCAAAAATAAACACTTGTGTTTTGATTCACCATCTTTAACTGAAAGTCTTTGTCAATGAATTCAAACTTGAGCATTCTATCCGAAAGATTAAGTGATTTCCACTAAAAAATGAAAATGTGAATCTGGTCGTTTTCCTAACTCCCTTATCTTTTCTCCACCCTGTTCCCAATTGTTAGTACATAAAGGGTCTCCCTTTTCATTATCTTCATGAAAAGAGCCATACTTGATTATGAGGTGGGAACAGTGCAACACCGTATGTAAACAGGAAGCAACCTGAACTGCTGCTGCCAGCTAAGACCTGGTAAGCCCGGGCACCCTCACTTAGGGCATGGACAGCCCCCTCCATCCCCCAGCTCCACCTGGATATCCCCTAAGGCCTTTCAAACTCATCAGTATCCCAAGCAGAGTTCATCTTCTCCTCCCACTCCAACTGAATCCTTCACTAATTTTTTCTCCCATGATTATCACTGTTCACTCAGACCCAAGGAAGAAATGGGGGGTCATCTAACTTCTCCTTTGAATGCATCATATACATTCTGTGGGTCATACAAATCATGAGGACTAACCAGCCTCCTCCCCGCTGGCCACTGCTATTGGATAATCCCTTTCTAAGTGATCTCCTGCCCTCCTCAAACATCCCCTCTGCACAGCAGACAGAATCACCTAAAACTGAAAGGTTGAAGAATCCTTAAAAACCATCTTCAATTTACACAACAGAGAGGAGAGCAAGACAGTTACATTCCCAGTACAATGCTGTGAAATATAAAAGACACAGTAGAAAAAAGCAATACATCCAGACAGGTTTCTCCTGCTGTCTCCAGACACTTTGTAACATCAATTCTACAAACACAAGACTTAGAAAGTCAAATCCTCTATTTATTCTAGCCCTTCTAGAAATGACATTTAAAACAGACACTGCCACATCACTAACTTCCCACAAGTTGTGGTATCTACTGGAAAAATTTAGTTCCTGATATTTCCATTTAAGATTCAAGTGATCCTCTGGCCCTTATTAATTGCTTAACTTCAATTTCAAAAAGCCAAGAAGTCCTCCAACATACGCCTTCCAAGGTGTTACTTTCAGAAACCAGGATCGGAACTAACCAGTAAACACGGGGACGACGGGGACCAGCTGCTCTTGGTGCCCTTTTCACTGGTCTAGGTAAAAAAAATAAATAAATAATAAAACAGATGGTCAAAAGCAAATAAAACTTATTCACACTTTTAGGACGAGAATTATGAAAAAATACACTTGAAATCATATTACAAGAAAGGCAGGACAGTTACAATCTGGTATGCAATGAATATTGTGTTGGCATTTAAAAGACAAAGTGAAATGACAGCATAACATACAATATTGGATTAAGTAAACTGGCTTCCAAATTTTTCTCACTAAATACAGTAAATGTGGATTCTAGAACATTTTTTGTCTTGCTAAAAATTGTCTTCCTCTATTCAACTCTGGAGATGAGAAGGGAGGGGGAAAAAAACCACAAAGCTTTTCCCAAGGAACTTTTGTATTTCTTTTAAGAGTAAATTTAAAACAAATTAGTCATTTTAACCCAGTAAACTTTAGTACAATCTTAACTTACTATTAATTCCAATTTATGTTTATACTATATCAAGGTCTCTTCAGCAAGTCAAAATTATGACACAAATCTCTTGAACTAATAACTTCAGGACTCATAGGGAAGTAGGTAAGCAAATTATTTCCAAGTGTGAAAAGGTGCTATTTTAGGCCAAACACAGTGACAATCTTCATTATCCAGAGAAGTTGGTAGCCCAATTTAAATTTTTCTTATGTTTAATTTCCTCCCAATATAAATAACAAGTAGCAAAAAAACTTAAAGAGTGGTGGAAAATATTTTGGAAATTCTCTAATTCATACAAGGCATAAAACCTCATAATACAACCACTCCTAACTAGCCTCAAAATATTAAGAGCTTAAATACCAAATCATAATTACTTTGGAATTTCCTCTTCCCTGCCTCAATTAATATAGTCTATCCCAACTATAACAAACTGCAACAGGTGATCTGAACTGTTTTTGTTATGCTGGCTTTTGGTCACATATAACACTATAGTATTTGGTAGTTTTCACTATAGTATTTGGTAGTTTTAATCTTTAAATATTGCTACACTGATTTCTAAATTCAGTGTCTTTAGAATCCTACTAGTAGATAGAAAACAGCATGGCATGGTGGAAAGAATACTGGAAGAGAACTCAGGATACTGGATTCTACTCCTGCCCATTCTGCTATTAATCAATTGTGCAAGGCCGTGCACAGTTGAAACTTTCTAAACTTCAGTTTCTCATCTGTAGTTGAACAGGTGATCTGTCCCCTTCAACCTTCAACACAGCCCCACCGTGGGACTGTGGCTAGTTTCCCAACTTTGGGAAGGTTCTGTTGAGCATCCACCACATATTGCTGACTGGGTGTTTGCCATTCTACCATTAACTTCTAATTTAAAAAAAATCTCGTTTTCTACTTAATTCCTTTCAGCCAATAACAACTCAATCAACTACTTAGTAAAATGCCAAATGAACCACTCTTCCCCTCCTCTTACATCACTTCCTCTTACTCACTTCCCAAGATGGCTCTCCTCCCTTCCAGCCTCATAACTCATCTTGGTTCTCCAAGAACCGCATCTATCAACTATCCTCACAAGTCATCCGAGGCAGCATCCGAAGAATCAGCTTCCAACCCATACCGGTTTAGACAATGTTCCAAATCCATGGGTTGGCTTTAAGGTACTCTCTTATCCTAAGGATGACCCACCCCCTAAACACCAAGGCTCCTGCAGTTCTCTGTAACATCTCTCTTAGCTTAGTTTCCTCTCTAGGTCGGATGCCAGGATTATCGCTAAGTTTGTTCCTTGCCCGGAGAAGACAACAAAATTACCTGCGAAAAAGAGCAGTGAGCAAGGAACAAAAGGAAATCGAAGAGGGAGAAAGGGCCCCAAGACGATGAGGAGACAAGAAGGGCTTGAAAAGGAGAAAGAATGGGGGGAGAAGGCAGCGCAAGAAAGGGAAGGCGGGAGAAGAGGCAGCAGCCCACTCCCACCGCTCCACACGCGCCAGGACGACAGGCCAAGCCACAAAGTTTTGCTCCAACTTTGTGAGGTCTGAAGGAGCCTCCCTCCGAGCAGATGAAAACGCCCCCCTCTTCAGCACCTCCCCCGTCCTGGACCGCAGCGCCCGAGGGTCTCCCAGGACGGCGCCCCTCCCTCCGCGTCCCGGCCCCGGGTCTGCCCCCAAGGACGCCCCTGCCCGCCGCGGCCCGCGGGAAGGCAGAGCCTGCGACCCCGCCGAGCTCGGCGCTGGCTCGGGCAGCAAGGCCGCCCCTCAGGCCCGACTCCGGTCCGGCCTTACGTGTTGTCCTGGTTGAAGTTGGCGAAGAGCAGCTGGCCGGCGCCGGCCTCCCCGCTCTGGCTCGCCAGGTTCATGGCTGGGCGCGCGGCGGGCGGGCGGGTCGGGCCGGCCGGGTGCACGCGCGTGCGAAGACGGGTCGGGCTGCGCTCAGGATCGGTGCCGGGCCCCGATTGGCGCCTCAGCCACCGCCGCTCGCCGTCCCGGGATCAACCGCCGCCTCATCCCGTCCCCGCTCTTGTTTATGCTCCGGAGCCGGGAGGCCCTGCACGCCTGCGCAGCCCCGCCCCCGCGACGCACGGCCTCTCCCGGCGCAGGCGTACGGCGGACGTCACGCCCCTTCACCTTTGGCCCGGGCAAGGGTTCCGGACGAGAACGCACGCGCGGCTGGGCCAGGCTGAGGGCCTGCGAGCGACCGCGCGTGTGTGTAGGGTAGAACCAGTGGGAGTGCGCTGTCCATGTGCACCCACCTTCTTAATACCAAAAGGGTCCATGTGCCAATCATTTCGCTATGTAGGTGCATTATCTTATTTGATGCTTACTGCAATCCTATGTAGGGAGTATCATATCACCATTTTACAGATTTGAAAATTGCGGCTCCGAAATTTTAATCTATTTGCCAAGTGCTAGATCTGAGACTGGAAATGCCCTGTTTCTCCAAAGTCCACAATTCCTGGGTCCCTGCGAGAAGATCCCACCTTAAACTTATTCATTCATTCAGCAATATTTAGGAAGCACCTTTCATATGAACTAAATTGGCCTTTTCCTCAGAGAAGTTATAGTGGAGGAGATACTTAGTTATAATTACAAACTCAGAGGTACAACGCGCGCACATATTGAGGTTACTTAAACTTAAGGGACAGGGACTGCAGAGACTTCCTGGAGATAAGAACTGAAGTTTGAATAACCGGCTTAAGGGGATGAAGTGCTCTGTATGGCAAAGGTATGTGGATGAGAGTTGATCTGTTCAAGGAATTCTACAATTAGCTTAGAGTGGGAAGATAGACACACACAAGATTTGGCTGGAGAAACAGGAGGTGGCCAGATCAAGCAGGGTATTGTTAAGATGATGCATTAAGCAAAAAACTAGTCATTTTCCAAAGGTGCAATGCGCTGCCATTGAAGATAGGCAGAAAAATGGGATGATCAAACGTGTGTTTAGGGAAGTTAATTCTAGCTATAGGGTCAAGAATGCATAGACAATTATTGAGGAAAAGATAGAAAAGATAGTCTTTTTTTTTTTTGAGACAGAGTCTCACTCTCTTGCCTGGCCTAGAGTGCAGTGGCGTCAGACTTGCTCACAGCAACCTCAGACTCCTGGGCTCAAGCAATCCTTCTTCTTCAGCCTCCCAAGTAGCTGGGACTATAGGCATGTGCCACCATGCCCGGCTAATTTTTTCTATATATGTATTTTAGTTGGCCAATTAATTTCTACTTTTGGTAGAGATGGGGGGGGGGTCTACGCTCTTGCTCAGGCTGGTTTCGAACTCCTGACCTCGAGCAATCCGCCCACCTCAGCCTTCCAGAGTGCTAGAATTACAGGCGTGAGCCACCTGGCCTGGCCTTTGTCTTTTCAATAAAAGGAACAAATTCTCCAGCCTCACACCACACTCAGAAATTAATTTGAAATAGATCACAGTCCTAAATGTGAAAGGTAAAAACAGTAAAGTTTCAAGAAGGCAACATAAGAGAATGTCTTCATGATTCCAAGTAAGCAATGTCTTCTAAATGAGTACTTTAAAAAGTACCATTCACAAAATAAAAGATTGTCCTCTATCAAAATTAAGAACATCTGCTTATTAAGAGCCCATTAAAATAAGTAACTTCATATTCAGTTCATAAGGGTAAAATAACTTAAAAAATAAATAAGAATTATTTTTTAAAAAGAGCCCATTAAGAGAGGTTGAAACACAAGTCTCAGAATAGGATACATACATTTGCAATACATATTTTTGACAAAGTACTTATCCAAAATATTTAAAGAACTTCTGCACATCCATAAGAAAAATATAGACAACTGTTTTTTTTAAATGGGCAAAATACTTGAACACAGGCATTTCATGAAAAGGGATATCAAAATGACTAGTGAGCACCTGAGAAGGTGATCATCAATACTCGTTAAAGAAATGCAAATTAAGAGCAAATGAGATATTGTTAAGCATCCACCAAATTGGCTAAAGTTAATACAACTGACAATACCAAGTGTAGACAACAGTGTAGATCAACTGGAACTCTCATACACTGTAGATAGGAATATACATTGTTTTAATTACTCTGAAAACTGGCACTATCTTCTAATGTTAAAAACATATATTCCCTATGACTCGGCCATTTTGCCTCTCATGTATGCTCAATTGACATTAGCACATTTTCACCAAAAGCCGTGTATAAGAATGTTCATAGGCAGGGTGTGGTGCCTCACGCCTGTATTCCTAGCACTCTGGGACACTGAGGTGAAAGGATCACTTGAGGTCAGGAGTTTGAGACCAGCTTGAGCAAGAGCAAGACCCCATCTCTACAAAAAATAGAAAAATTAGTTGGGTGTAGTGGTGGCACCTGTAGTCCCAGCTACTTGGGAGGCTGAGGCTGAAGGATCGCCTGAACCCAGGAGCTTGAGGTTGTAGTGAGCTATGATGACACCACTGCACTCCAGCCGGGGTGACAGAGTGAGACCTTGTCTCAAAAAAAAAAAAAGTTCATAGCTGCTTTATTCATAATAACCAAAAACTTTTTACATTCATCTGCAATAGAATAAATACATGATACATTTGTGTATCGTGTATTATGATACATTCATACAAAAGAATACTACCCAGTGATAGGACATACACACACCATGGATGTATATCACAGACTTATTGTTGAGTGAAAAAGGCCAGACACAGAAGAATACACTTTGTATCAATAGGTTCGTGTGAAGTTCAGGAACAGGAAGAAGAGTGGTTACCGCTGTTGGGTGATTGGTTGGGAGAGGGAACAGGGAGCCAGCTGAGTGCTTGAGCTGCCCTACATCTTGATTTCAGTGGTTCTGTTATATGGCGTACCCATATGCCAATGTAGCTAACCACTGAAATCAAGATATAGGGAGGAACAATGTCTTCAGTAGTAACCACAGTTTCCCATGGACTGTTATTACTGAATAAAGGCACATAAAGAGGTGCCCCAGTGAATCCCTTGGGTTGTATGCACAGTTCTCCTTTTTTTGTTTTTAAAGTACCAGATGTTTTTTTTTTTTTTTAAAAAAAACAGCTCAGGCTGGTCTCAAACTCCTGAGCTCAAGCGATCCTCTCACCTCAGCCTCCCAGAGTGCTAGGATTATAGGCATGAGCCACCGCACCCAGATTATAGGTCTCCTTGATCTCATTTTGAGCAGCCACTGAATTTTCCCCTGTTAATCAGAATCTATTATCCCAGCCAGAGTAGTAACTCCCTCTCTCTATTGGTTCAGTGAATGAAAATCGCAAAATGGCCAGGAAGTAGACTCAGTTTCCAATTTACCAGAATCATGACCCCTTGGGTACTATCATCTCAAAATCCAGTGAGCCCAGTGCTGTACAGATGGAAACAAAACTCCTCTGGGCGGGTTATTAGATTTAACAGGCAAGGAAACACTCGCGTCTCCACTCTTAGTTTTCAGGCATGAATTTGCATTTTGTCAAACAGCATTCTTGATCTTACAGGGTGTGGTCTCTTGGCTGGTGTCATGACTGAGCCTTCAGTAGGCTATTCTACCATCTATCTGAGTAATAGGACACAGGATAAACGTGGTGGATTCCAAAGGCATGAGCCCATTTTCAAAGTTCCTTCACCCTACTGTAAATTTCTTGGTCAGAAGAGCTGTGGTATGGGACACCAAAGAGACCTCCCCTGGGTAACACTATTTAAAAAACTGCACCCTCCGCCCTCCCACACCGTCTCTATCCCTTTTCTTGCTTTATATTTCTATATATCATGTATCACCTTCCAACGCACCATTAATGCCCCTACTGACCAGGACATAAGCCCCACGAGGGCAGGGCTTTGTCTGTGTCGTTCACTCTGTGTGGGTAAGACCTGGGACAGTGCCTGAGGTACTCAACTCTGAGCCTTCTTTCCCGGCGGAGCTGAGAGCTGCTGCCCACTCACCCCGTTTCTATTTCACAGCATTATTATCTGGGCGGTATTGGGAACCACTGCAAGGTGTCATTGGAGTGTAGGCCGGATTTCTGCCAGGGTGGTGACCTGTGTGTGATTTAGTAATGCGCCTTCGTGTGTCAGCTCACCTGGGGACAGTGTCAGCTGACAGTCCTGTGGCGCAGAGAGCAGGAAGGATGCTCTCATCACTTTAGGATTCCTCCAGGTGACAGGTCTGCCTGATGCCAGCTCTAAGAGAAGAGCCTCGCTTCCTGCTTTGAGCCTGAGAGCAGAGCCATCATCCACTGGTGCTTAGAACATGCCTCAGAGATTCTTCCTATGTGCAACCTTCAGAGCTGAGCAATCCTCTCACAGGCAAATAAACTCGTGGGATAAACAGCTGGCATGGAGGCAGGGGCTAAGGGCTGGAGTGAAAGGATGCATGAGGGGGCCCTGGGGAATGGGTCAGATGTGCGGAACACTGAAGTCAAACAGGCTTATTGGGGTTCAAATCCTGCCTCGGGTTGTGGAGAGCTGTGTGTTCTTAGGTCAGTCACCTGACCTCCCTGAGCATCGGTTTCTTCAGTAGCAACAAGCGCTGAGATATCTCACCTCTTGAGAGTGCTATTAAGATAGAACAGTGGCTGGAGGGAATGGGGAGACAGTGGTTAACTGGCACAAGATCTCAGATAGGAGAAATACTTATTTTTGGAGATCTATTGTCCCGAATGGTGAATACAGTTAGTAATAGCCTATTGTACATTTCAAAATTACTAAGAGAATAAACTTGAAACCTTCTCATCACAAAAAGTATTTGAAGTGATACATTAACTAGCTTGATTTCATTATTCCATGTTGCATTCATAAATTATAACATCATGTTGTACCCTATAAATATATACATTGTCCCTTTACAATAAAATTAAAAAGTTTAAAAATAGCTTGCCCCCCCAAAAAAAGATTGAAACACCCCCAGAATAATGGAGCAAGAATCCCTGAAAACCCGCTTCTCCATAAAAACAATGACAAAAAATTGTCAAAATCAACTTTTTCAGAACTGGAAATTATCTAAAGGCTTGCAAGAATAGGCAGAACATTTATTCAAGTAAAAGGGCTGAATCTCAGTAAAGCACTTAGCTTCATGGCATTTTAATTTTCCTTAATATCATCCCTCTCTCCAAGATCCATGGTAGCTGGA